GGGCGGAGGGGAGGAGGAGGAGGGTGCGGAGGAGGAGCGGGAGGGCGACGAGGGCGGCGCGCCGGTGCCATTCCAAGACATCTTTGGCCAGAGCTTGCGGCGCAGCGCCAGGGTGAGGGAGAGCAGCATCGCAGCTGCTGCTTGCAACGGGCTTTGCCTGCTGCTCTTTCGAGGCCCAGTGCCGTTCCCAGCCCCTCCCTCTTCACAGATCGTGTTATCTCTTATGAGCGGACCGCCCTCCCAACCCAGGGTGCTCAGCCCAACCCAGGGTGCTCAGCAGCTGAGCTCTTCGTTTGGGCCCCAGAGCACCACACCAACTCAACTAAAAGCAACACCCACATCAAACATCAACCTCCACTTGCGCCTGCGACCACCACCACAGGCCAGAGCGGCGCCCTCGCGGCGTGTGGAGCGCTACCAGTCCGCGGGCGCCCTGTTTGGCGTGTCCTGGCCCAAGGCCGCCTGGTTCGTGGAGGGCCAGGGCCGCTGGGGCGTGGCCGGCATGAGCGAGTGCCCCCTGAAGCTGGCCTTCGTCCCCCTGGGGTCCTTCATACACACGGTGGGCCCCGGGGCTCACTGGTTTCGTGATACTGCCCATGCGGGGGAAGTTGAGGGGCCTTGACCCCCTTGCACCTGCCAGCACAAGCGGGCGCCCTAGGTTTCAGCGCCTTTTGGATTATCCCCTTGCCTATCCCTGGAATTTTTTCATACCGGTAGTCCCCATCCCACAGCCTCCATCCCCACTCCAATACTATCATGCCCCTCTTTCGCCCATTGCGCCCCTCCAACAAATGGCACTCAGTACTTTCGACACCATCATCCTCCCCTCCATCTGCCCCCCCCTCTCAGGTTGGTGCGCGGCCTCCCGACGTGTCAGTGATAACGTACCTGCAGCGCCTCAAGGAGCAGGGCTGGGACGTCACGCGCACGGAGAGGAAGCTGCTGATGTGCGGCGGGGACGACGCGGCAGCCATCATGCGTGAGTGCCGCGTGGCGCGTGCGTGTGGGGGTTGTGTGGGGGGTGTGGGGGTCTTTGGGTGTGTGTGTGTGTGTGTGGTGTGTGGGCGGCGGTGTTGTGTAGGGTGAAATTATAGGCTCCCGGGGAATATGCTCGTGGTTGGGGGGGAGAGGGGTGATGCGGTGGCCATTGTGCGCTGGGGTCAGGCGGCAGCCTGGGAACGGCGCGGAGGCAGTAGCTCGAACCATGCAACTGCGTCAGCTCAGAATGCATGAAGTTGCTGCGCCACGTTGCATTATTTAGTTGACGGGCGGTCGGTCAAATGCCAATATGATACAAATGGCAGCAACATACCGTCCCCATTAACACTTTCCAAGGTATCCACTGAAAAGTCCAACCACGCAACTGCCACCCAACCGCGACCTCACTGCATGCAATCACCACCCAACCGCCACCCAACCATACCCAATCGCCACCAAACCGCGACTCAACCGCCACTCACCAGCACCCGACCGCTTCTCAACCACCGCCCGCCCCCAAAGGCGTCCTGGGCATGGGGGACGTCCCCCTGGAGCACTCCGCCTCCATAGGCCAGCTCGGCTGGGCCACAGAGAGGCCCCTGAACCCAGCGTGGGCCCCAAAGCGCGGCGACCCAGAAGACCCAGCCGCCGCAGCAACCCCTGCCGCCGCCGGCGTCCCCGCCGCCGACGGCGCCCCCGCCGCCGCCGACGGCGCCCCCGCAGCCGCCGCCTCGCCGGCGGAGGGCGGGTCGGCCGGCTCCGGCTGGGGCTCGGACGGCTGGGCGCTCGGCGTGCAGCTTCCCGGCAGCCGCCGCCTGGCGGCCGGGCCCTGGTGGCCCTGCGAGGTGGTGGACCCCTGGCGGCCGCCCATGGGGTTCCTGTTTTTGTTAGACCACATGACGGCACTGGACGAGCACGAGCGGCGGATGTACGTGCCCGGTGACGTCACCAGGGGCGTGGCCAAGGCGGCCGTCTGGAGCGCGGCGGGTGGGTTTGTTTTGTACTTTTGCTTTTTGCTTAAGGCCAGTCCGCGAGGCTGCATGCAGAGGGCATGAGGCTTGTGAGGCCTTTTGCACCAACGGTGCTGCATTTTGTAGTTGTGATTCCGCATCCAAAAAACTTGTATGCTCCACACAAGGTTGACAGGTAGTCTTCTGCGCAGGCCATGCATGCACTGGTGCCTGCACACCCACCCAGCCTGCTCCAGTCCAGCCAACCGACCGACTCCCCCACAACCCCGCCGCCCCCGCCCAGACGCCGCGGGCTTTGGCGCGCCGCCACCCGGCCCCCGCAAGCTGCTGGTGCTGTGGCTGGGACTGGGCAAGTTTGAGTGGCGCTTTGAGTGGGAGCTGCTGCCCTTTGAGCCGTTTTTGGAGGAGATGGAGGGTGAGGGG